AGAGAGAGAGAGAGAGAGAGAGAGAGAGGTCAAGGCAAGAATCAAAGGAAAAAGTGGATTTGAGAAGTAACTGGGCAAAGTCTTAATTTCAGACATAGGTGTTTTACACCAATACCATAAATAGTGTATGAAATCAATACATCAATGACTTCTAAACCTATTCATTCTACAGCATTATTGTCACCACTGATATCTATGCCTTTACTTATTTCATAAACTAAATACCCAAATTTTCAATTTGTGATAAGTGACGCAGATGAAAAATATTGTAAAATTCATATGGCCGGTTTGTTAAAATTGTATGATGCAGTGAACATTCAGTATACGGATATCCATATATATTGAAACAGATGCATATATATCAGTTTAGACACATATATCTACCATATAGATAAAAGAGATAAATGTGTATATGTATATCTACATATATATATATATATATATATGATAGACAGATATGCACTTATTTTTGTGTACATGCATGTCTAAACATATGAATACTATATTGGGTCGGCTTTACGCAATTTTAACAAACCAACCAATAGATTTTATGCACTCTCCAGCTTGTACTAAACCAAAGTGCAAGTTTGAAAGTGAAATTATAGCAAAACATTTCCATGAAACATACTGCATTCCAACAGTAAAATATGTGTTCTCTTGAAATGTCATATCACTTTGGTGAAAATAACATTTCAATTTCATAATCTTTTAGACCAATGAATAAAACCATAAGAATAATTTTTAAATGTTTAACACTAAGAATTCTTTTAATATTTATGGGAAGCAACACACAGGCACCGGCTGAGATACCAACTAAATCTTCAGTCTAATGATTATTTTATTGGGTATGCAATGCTTTCGAGTAACTGGAATTAATTTCTTAGATATTTATATCTAGATCCTCTTTCAATAAGCTTATAATAATAATAATAATAATAATAATAATAATAATAAAAGCAAATATTTGAATTTAAAGAAGACATTCATCTTACTAGCTTGTATATTCTTGTTTACTTATTTATCTATTTATCATTTCTATCCTTAAGTGGTTTATGGCAGGTAAGAAAGAAGAAAATCTGTAAAATGACCTAAAAATGAAAATAACATTAAGTACAATATTTGATTGTAAATCAGTTTCACCCTTCATGTGCAGAGGCATGTCATAATCAAACAACGAAAATACCTGCGGCTGTGGAGTAGGAGGAGGTGGATTCCTGGTAAAAGTACGAGGAGTGGAAGGTCTTACTCCAAATCTAGATGATTCAGGCCCACTTTTACCAGGAGACCAATTTCTGTCACTAGTGGATGGAGCATCATTAACCCACACCTTTCCACTTCTGCTGCCCTTGCCATATTCTTGCTTGCCTCTGTTCCAACTATCACAGTAAGACGAAGATGACTCCCATTGTTTGCCATCTAGGGTTCCTTTCATCGAAGCATCTAACCAATGATCTTGTGGGTTGTCTCTGTGGTGTCTCCAGCTTGATACCCTACTGTCATCTGTTGATCTTGTCCAGCTCTCATTCCCAGTCCAGTCATCCCTTTTGCTGTAAATTCTTGTAGTGGATCCATGAATATCTCTACTACTGGAGCTCTGACTATTGTGGTGATAGGAGCTCGCCCTACGGGAAGAGCTCAAAACATTTCCAGGCTTGTAAGGTCTTTCTTCCCTGTATGGTAAGGAATTATTATACAGATTTTACATGAAATGTCTAATGTATGGAAAAACTGAGAAAACAAATGA